GTGCCACTCTAAAAAGCATGAAAATAGGCCACCGTTAATAAGGCCGACTATTTTTGTGTTAGAAGTGGGGTGCCTTGAAATGGGTACCAAAATGACAATGGAATGGGCCACTACAGAAGAGTGGAACTACACAATGCTACATTTAGGATAGATCCATTTTCTGAAGTGGTTATAGGAAACATAAATAGTCAAACCCGGCCCCCTCTATACGATATTAATACATCGATAAATAGTATAATATGCAACCCTGTGCAAAGAGTTAACAGCAAAGTTTTGCATTCGATCACTTACTACTAATATCGCTGCTGTTACATACGCCCGAGAGGCTCAAAGTTTGTCTGGCCTCGCTCGTCCCGCTGTGAGAGCAAAGAGAATTTTTTATATTATTTGACAGGCGTGCTGGAAACGACTTGACCTGGTTTTCCAGAGCGTTGCTATGACAGTTAAGGCTCAAAAATGATGAATTTGTTGAGGTGTTTAGCTGAGGTGTAGACGAATCTAATGCTGACATGGAAAGACGGTTTTGTAATTGTTTGATGTCATCCCGAAGCTTCTCTACCGCTTGTTGTCCACCCATTGCTGATTGATGGAGCTAAAAAAATGGATGCTTGTTATACACCAGCTTGGCAAACAAGAACTAACATAATGACATTTAAATTCAGCTCAAATAAAAGTTTAATAGACTTGTAGTTGGAGTAAGAACTCATAACATGGCTGTTCCATTCTTAAGACAAGACGGCAAATGTTGAGCCGTTTTTACACGGCAATATATGTTGTTAATTATTTCTTTGAATTTTATAGTATGAATGGTCCATAAAGTATGAAAATCGCCCTCTTCTTAAGTTTGGCAACAAGTGCCAGCTAAATACGTGAAAAAACTTTCCAGATCCGCTTTAAAGAGTACTCGTCGATCAGGTGACCTTATACTCATGGAAATTAAAAAAATACTTGAGAACAACATAATACATGACAGCTAAATTCCCCACTAATAGGGTGGGGAGATTTTCTATGAAGTAGGCTTAAATCAGAGAGTATGTGGACTCCATAACCCGTATTTTAAGGCTTCCTTTTATGAAGCGAGCATTCAGAGCGCTTGCTCACTTCGTTTTGGTCAAGCCTTCGTACTATCCTTACTCAGAGGCTTGTAAATATGCCTACCGTTTTACCGAAATTTTCTACAACATTTATTTATCTAATTAGAGTTTACAAACCAAACACAGCCAGTCCAAATTATAAATCATTTAATGAGGCTTCTGAGGAGTCTTCATCTTGAGGTCAAATCAGTCAGGCAATATTGCTTTAGGAATGAAGATCCAAGTGACGATTAGTGCGATAATCACAGCATTTGATCTCCCCACAAAGAATGAAACAAACGACTTGTTATTGCATAGAATTGTGTCATGTATCCAAAAAAATCGGTTCTCCTCCCAACCGGACTGACGGCTATCTCTCTCATGGGCCCTTACTCCATACTCGGACCCAGTCAACCCCAAGCTCATCAATCAAATCATCGTATTAAGGCTTAGTCGTAAGATTTTCGTGAAACATTGAGTGCATACTGAATAAAAGTTCACATTCTAACAGAATGGAGCCCATAATGCAGCTCTTAACGCGATTCCCAGCTTTCCCGTTTTAAAATCTACGAAGCCTTATTTAGATTCTTAACGCCAAGCAGGCCAAAGCTTAAAGTGAACACAATTCACAGCTTAATTAGTAACACGTTCGGGCAAGTAAATAAAGTCAGCACAAACAAAGCACTCAGAAAAAAGGCAACTGATCAAACAGAGGTGATTTAGAATGTTAAAAATGTAATTTAAACAAGATCAGAATTTTGAGGAAGTAGCAAATAAAAATAGAGTTAATTAAACAACATTTATATGAGTTGTCTCAATTCAAGAAATCATATTAAAACCTCATACGGAATCAGGCTTACTCTACCTTTTGTCCGATCTCGAAGTGCTGGATTCTTAGTTCCCGACACTTATCAGTTATCGCGCGAAGCTCGCGGCAACTCTCCTGTGCCTTCCTTCGGTGGACTTGAATTCTACAAGGCAAATGAAGAGGGGTACTTTAAACCAAATGTGACATGACTTCCCAATTAGAAATAGAAGTTGGTTAGAAGGAATTCGTGAAATGGTAACTCCGGAAACCGAAAGAGGATTGCTTCTGAGTGAAGACTATTGACTTATACGAGGAAGTGGTCTGCTCATTGTCCTGTGACCCCGATGAACCTGTAACGCCTTAACAGACAACACGACAGCATACTTTACAAAATGGCACAAAATAGACTGAGCCAAGAGAGAAGGTGGGCGACTGTACTTACTATACGCCTTTCCTTGCGATCTCAATGAGACAACACATGATTTGGCTGGCTACCTCAACCTTACACTTCATGTATGCAGGCGAATGAAGTTAATGCATGATCAGAAAGTGGATGCGATAGCAACTGTTTCCTTGCATAAAGATACTAGTTTACTATCGTTAGTGAGTAGGTTTTCGAGACTACCAGTAAATCAGATATACAAGTTGTGTTCACACTTGTAGACTTGCTTTCCCAAAAGCAGTGAAAACGTCAGCTCTACTCATATCATTGTTGGAAAATTCAACTACCAGTTCTTCATCACCATAAACGAAATAGGATAAACACAACTCAGCCTATAATCGTCTAATGTTGATTCATGTTTAGATGTGTGATATTGTCTATTGTGCCTATGTACTGTTCATGTGATTAGGGATACTATAACAAAAGCTAGACTTCTCTTGTTCAGTAACACTTCCTGCTCGCCCTCATTCTAAGCCTATTCAACAACCATAAGCAGTTTTTACTAAATTTCATATACTCATTCCTCCCATTTGGGATTTTGCCTTTTTTTACTATTTTCTATAGACTCCTTAATCCTACACTTTGAGGTGAAGCCTCCACAACCAAACAAACGTAGTGTCTTGGACCAGGCTATTCCTTCGAAAGGGAAATTTATGTCACAATAATTCTCTGAAGAATTCTTAAAAACCCAGCTTTCCTTCATAATGTTAAGATGACATTCTTTGTACTAGAGTCCCTCAAAGTCGGAAGATTTAACAGAGTGGAATTTATACATTGCAGTGTGACAACGAGTCAAGCCGTTACCAGGAGAAGGCGATGTCATAATTGCACAAACCAGCAGTGGTTTGACTTCTTGGTTTGTTGAGCCCACCTGTATTTCGAGTAAAAGTGTGTAATAGAGATGTTATGCTGGAGCTGTGCATTTTACCTTCGTACCTTTATGTACGCATAAATGCACATACAAATTCAAACATTGGCCCACGCCTCTTAATTGATACTTTATATGTCCTCATTTAATTATTCTATGCCATACAAAAATGCATAGGGGTTGAATATATATACATTTTTAAGGGATAAGCCGAACGTTTTCCCCCAGAATTGAAGGAGATTACTTCGAGAACAGCGCCAACCTGAATATTCCAGCAAAGCCAATCGACAGCTGGGCAAGAGTAATCCGCCGTCGTCTTTTGATGAGATCAACTTTGCAATCTCTTCACCAGTCAATTTCACTCGAAATATAAGTAAGCTCAAAAATGGTAAACGAAAATATTTATTTAAAAACAACATTTCTATGCACATTTACTCCAAATTGCTTCTATTTACAAATGATGCGTGCTGACTCTGGAATGTTAACGAGCCTGAACCATCAGGTATTCCGACTCGATAATGAATGGGCACAGCAGTCATTTTGTGCTTTGAGCACTTGAAGTTGGATTCGGCCATCAGTAATTGAAGATCATGGCATGCATGAGCATTAGCCACCTAATTCCTTTGGTGCTAGAACACCTCTAGAGTATGAACAAGCTATATTTTCGGGGTCAACAAAACCCAGTTGTTTACCAAAAATCATCAATTAATCTGATAGTGCTCCTTTGTCCCAATAGAAACAATATTCGCCTTTTTAGCTTGGTTCTGCCAAGTTTACACTACTTGGTGGTGCTATTAATGTAGACAAAATATACACCCGCGTATACCCAACTATGTCCACAAGATAAATTTAGGCCTTGCAAATGTCAAGCAACTGATTTGTGCATATTTCAATATATTTGTCCCAAAAGGCCGCAATGTGCATATACAGTCAATTTTTCGGGATGAGCCTCACTCGTTTGTGCTCAGCGAGTTGGAGGTGAAATTCCTCAAAGTCTTTATGTCTGAATTCCTAAATTGTAGATATGAAGAGAAACTGGGTTTCGATGTGAAATAGAAGGTTCTCAAAATAGTAGGTTTGCTGATTACGGTACGTCTGTGTTTAAAAGAAAGATAACAGAGGCTATTGAAATTAATAGCTTAGGAAATAAGTTGAATATGAGGAACTGAGGTAGAAAGTTGAGTAGGGATTACTTATGCTTGATTGATAGATTGAAAGAGAGAGAGGGTGTTGAGCCGTGATCAAAAAGAAGGTGACTCAATTTGCCCGCTCGGTGATGGTTCTAACTTTACTCACACTCGTCCAACATGTTAGATTAAGCTCATCAACCAAACCAGAGTGCCAAATTACGCAGCCCTTCACTCATACTCGTCCAACATGTTAGATTAAGCTCATCAACCAAACCAGACGTGCCAAATTACGCAGCCCCATCATGAGTTTCCTTGGAGGGTTAAACGATAATGACTCTAGACTGAGAGGTTAGGACAAGTGGTTTCGTAACTTGACCTACATGCTTACAAGCTCATATCTCATTATCTCAATCATACTTGCTTACGGACTTACGCAGTCTCGGTCAGGACTTGCTAACTTTAACCTTTTGATAACTCTGATTTAGGACCGGTATTGCGTACAGGCGCTAACACACACACGCATACACTCGAACAAAAGTAGCAGGAGAAGTATGAAAGATAATTAGCCAAACCACTCTATATCCATATAGGTTTTAAATCATTTTTAATTTTCTTTTGGCTTAGGTAAGAAAAAGCCGGATAGTCTTCTTGGCCTAGTGTTAACATTTTACTTTTACAAGAATGACATTCAGCTCTGATGATGTCCATCTAATGATGGACGAAAGTTCAGCACGTTTTCACCCGAAACGAGGGAGGAAGTCCCGTGGACTACGTCAGCATGAATATCGTATAAAATCCAACCGGCTGCAGAACAACGAGTTTAATCCGTCCTCATCTGGTGAGATCGAACAACTGATCTCTTCTTCGTGCACTTTCATGCGAAACGAAGGTCCCCCTAATAAATTCCTTAAGTTATAGTTCACAAGGTAAACCGTCATGTTATCAAATGCTATTAATTGCGCTGGTTTTTAAATCGTTCATTAAATAGTCCCCCTATTCACTCTCCTCTATGCACTTATAGCAGATGAACCTCCTATATTGAAATGCTGATTGTGGTAGATCCCAGCCTTCAACTCCTGTCCGAAGAGACTCGTTCTCAATCGAATAGCCCGAGCTTAGTTGCACATGATCAGAAACCCAGTTTATCCTCACATTCAAGCTCAGATATTCTGAGATAAATGAGGGTCAGTCGAGCAGGGGCCTTAGGGTTATTCAAGCAAGCCTCATTTGAACAGATAAAGTATAATAAATTCAGA